GTAAATGCATTGAATTCATAGTTCAAAAAAATCACCTATGGGAATTGATTTGTAAATAACAATGTTTCTTGTGCTCGGTATGTAATTAACACAAAAATGAAATAGAGGCGAGAGCCCAACTGAACAGGTCATGCTAATTATCCAAAAAAAAAAAAAGAAATCAATGTATGGAATTGATTTGCAAACAACACACAAACTATATGTAATTATCAAAAAAAAATTCTTTCAGGCAGAGGCCAAGAAATCGTAAGAAGGCCGCACAGCCACAGCAAAAAAACCAAAAACCGCAAAAAAAACCAAATGATGGATCGCAATGAGCAAGGCACAAATGACAAATTTTTAAACTATAAGCTAATTTCAACGTCAATAGTGTAGGGTAGAAATTAGCAATGGGAGAATGCCACCGGAATCGAGTATTTAAAGAAAAGGTAGGAAGGTAGGAGAAGAGAAATGCCACTGAAACCCGTTGAACACAATTGGGGTGAGAGGAGGAGAAACTAGGGCAGAACCAAGCACGGGATCGAAGTACAATTGAGAGGAGAAGAGAAGAAGCTAGGGCAGAGGATCGAACAACGAAGATATCACAAAAACAAAACGGCAACTGAGGTATTATCACATGAAAGAAACGTGGGACGCAAAGTCAAACCGCAGCCCGCGACTTACTAAAATAATTCTAAAAGCCACCACAACTTTTTTTCCAAACGCCTTATTTTGCGTTTTCTTAGCCCCACTGAAGATAAAAAGATGCCCCAAATACAACCTCATATTCCTCCTACCCCACAGGTATACTAGCACACCCCCATTCGCTATAACTTCCCTTCATATTTGACTAGCTATAAGTCTTTTCGATCATCTCTACAGCGACCAAACTCCCTCTTCGCCCACCTTACTTTCTCTACAACAAGATATCATGGAAGATTCACCCCTCTCAACAAAAGCTAAGAACAAATGAAAGAGTGATTGTTGTTTTGAATATATGGAGCCTGTGATTACTTCATCGCGGTCCCGTCAAACTCTTCTTCTCTTCATGTCCCGCCAGTTGTTCCTCACGCGGAACCGCTTCTGTCTCCGCGTTGTTCTTGTGATTGCCTTATATTGTTGTTATGAATATTATAAATATTGAAGCCAAAAACCTGTCAGAAGCCATCCTAATCTCACCATCTCATCGGTTGAAGCATAGAGGGGAAAAGGAAAGAAAAAGGTTGTTCTTTTTCTTCTTCTTCTGTTTTTTAGCTTCTGAAGCAGGGAAAGGAAACTATGGCTTTTTTTGTTGATTCTTTTTCTCACATGACTCAAGAAAGGAGAGAGAGAGAGCTCTTTGTTGTAAATGTCAAGATGATCAACAACGGTGTAATTCTTCAAAAAATAAAATCCTCTGCAACTTCATGGATGTAGGCAATTTGTCGAACCACGTAAATCTGTGTTTCCACTGTGCGTTTCTATTTGTAAATTTTTTCGATCCGATTTTTTGCTTTATTGCAGTCGTTTTTCACAACAACTGGTAGCAAACTCAAGATTCAGATTTAAACAAAGCGATGTTCGGAGATAAATTAATGACATCAGGGATCGAGAAGTTTAATGACACTGATTTTAGTTACTGAGGGATGCAGATAGAGGACTACCTCTATGGGAAGAAACTTCATCTTCCATTACTAGGAAAGCGACTGAAGAAGATGGATGAGGCTGAACAGAATCTATTGGATTGACAGGTTCTGAGAGTTATTTGATTAACTCTGTCAAGATCAGTTGTCCACAACGTCATCAAGGAAATGACTACTGCAGATTTCATTGCAGTTTTATTAAATATATATGAAAAGCCATCGGTGAATAGCAATGTGCATTTGATGAAAAAGTTATTCAACTTGAAGATGACGGAAGGTGTGTCTGTTGCTCAACATCTGAATGATTTCAACAACACAAATCAATTATCGTCTTTGACATTGACTTTGATGATGAGATACATGTGCTGATATTGTTGGTTTCATTGTCAAATAGTTGAGAAGTCATGAGAATAGCGACTAATAATTATGCAGGTAAATCTAAGCTGAAATATGATGATTTCCGTGATTTAATTTTGGCTGAGGTGCGCAAGAAGATTCTGGTAAGACATTAGGTTCGAGTTCGGCACTGAATATTGATTCTAGATGGAAATCACAGGACAATGACTCAAATTGAGGAAGATCGAAATCAAAGCACGGAGGCAAGAGCAAGTCAAAGTCTTGTCAACAAGCAACCTGCTGGAATTGTGGCAAAACTGGTCACATAAAAAAGAACTGTAGGAATCCCAAAAACAAAGAATGATAGTGTTAATGTCGTCACTGAAGAAGTACGTGATGCACAATTGCTGGCAGTTCACAATTATATTGATGACTGAATACTGGATTTGGGGTTTCTTTCCATACATCTTCCTGTCGGAAGCTGATGTCAAAACTATGTTGCATGTGACTTTGGGAAGGTATATATGGCTGATGAAAAAGCTCTGAACGTGATGAGGATGAAAGACGTTAATATTGCACTCCCTAACAAGAGCAAATGAACTTTATAAAAGGTCAGACAAATTCCTGAGTTGAAGAAAACTCTCATTTTTTGTTGGGCAGCTCAATGAGAGTGGTCATTCAGTAGTGTCTCATATAGCACCTGGAAGGTTACCAAAAGAGCATTAGTACTGGCTCGGGATAAGAAAACTGACACACTATATATGACTACATATTTACTCAACACTGTTACTACTACAGTTGCAGAGAGCACGACAGATCTGTGACATTGCAGACTTGATCACATGAGTCAGAGTTATGAAGAAATCTTGCAATATAAAAATTTGAGCAAGCGGAAGCTGGCCATGAAGGAGGAGACCGATTCTTACCAGAGAATTAAACTTAAAAGCTGACAGAGCTTCTACCAGGGAAAAAGACATTACACAGTAAGTGTGTGTACTGGGTGAAAAATGCATTTGATGACAGTGAGAGGTACAAGGTTGAACTTTTTTTTAAAAAGACTTTCAGGAGAGGCAGGATATTGCCTATGGAGTGGGAGTTGTAAGAAGATACAGGAGTAACCCAAGAAAGAGCTTAGAGGTACAAGGCTATATTGACGTTGATATGCGGACTAAGAGTGTTGCTCTTGAGAAACTGAAGTTGTGCTCGACTTCAGTTGGTCTTCTAGTGTGAAGACAAAGAGCTTTGAGTTGTAGATGTGAAGAATAACACATTTGAAGAAAAGGACGATGCAGCTAGTGGATGATACAGCCAGAGTATCTGTCTCTAAGTGGGAGATTTGTTGTGAATATGGAAATCAATCCAGTGTTCAAATTGACAGTTTCTCATATTTGGCAGCAAATTGGATTTAATACTCGAAATTAATTGTTAAATTAATCGCTCTTTGCATGAATCCCGCTATCTATGATTTATTGCATAAGAGAAAAGAAAATAATTAATGAGCTTCATTAATTATTTGATTAATTCTTTAATGGGTTTAATTGCATGATGAAATTAATAAATAAGCATGTTACAACTCCCCTTGTAATCTCTCTCAGACTTTGTTTTTACAAGAAAAGGAATCGCATGCTACGGCTTCCTCCTTTGGTGTTGGTTCGGTGCTCTGTCTAAGGGTAGAAAGAAATTGCAAGTTGCTACCTTTTTTGTTTCTTCCACTGTGCGACTTGCAGGTAAAGAGACAATGAAGGGGAGAGAGAGATTTTTTTCTTGTAATTGTCGAGACGATCGACAATAGTGTAATTCCTCAAGAAATAAAATTCTCTGCAACTCCGTAGACGTAGACAATTCGTCGAACCACATAAATATGTGTTTCCGCTACGTTTCGGTTTGTGAATTTTTCTCGATCCGATTTTTTGTTTTATTGCCGTGTTTTTCACAACATGCTAGTCTTTAAAATCCGTGCCAAAATCTTCATAATATTTCATTGTTGAGCAAATTTATAAAAGTTGCAACAAAAAATTCTCGAAATCCTGATTGCAATGCATTTGGCATGATGAGTGAAATTCTGTGCATGTTTTTGTAACATGGCAGAACAAAACTTCTAGGCGACAATTATGGCTTAATGGGTAAACCATACATGCTCTGTCCCTAGTGCAGCAAGGA